GCGCCCCCCCCCCCCCCGGCCGCCTCTGAAGACAGAGGGAGTTTTCTCTCTGAAAACCCAACGGAAGGGGTGGTTTTTACCAGTTCTGCTCCCGCTGAATTACCCTAGCTGGGCAGGGATTTGAACCGAGGTCTCCTGAGTCCCAGTCTTGGTTCTCAATACTGTATAGGGATGATAGAAAAACGTAATCTTTTTTCCCCCCTTTCCACCCCTCAGGCTAATTAACAAACTGCAACCTGGTTCAGTGAAGAAAATCAACCGTTCTGCCCTCAACTGGCACCAGGTAACGAACGCCTATGGGTGGGCAACATCTCCTGGTCTCCTTTCGGCTTTATTTCTTAGGGCACACAAAAGCCCCCAAAGCCATGTTCGTTTGCCTCCCCACTTCCATATTAGGTTGCAAGCCACCTTCCCCCTCCTTCAACACCCCCCCACAGGAAAAAAAAAATCACCGTATTGTGCCCTCTCTTCCAGAAGCTGTAAAATTTTTGACAGGGGTGCATTTTTTTTTGCAACTGTTTACTTACAGACTTACACTGTCTGTACCCCAATCAGTTGCATCTGGAAAAGTGGGGCTTCTGGCACCCTCAAAAGCCTCTCCTGCCAGGTGACGTTGTTCAGGTTTTCCAGGCTTCGTGTGCCAGGAAGGCCTGGTTTTCGAAGGCTGGCGATGTGTTTTCCCCACGGCTTAACCCCTCTGGAGGCCCATCAGGGGACCTGAACGGAAGCTCGCAAGATTCCTTCTTTATTTTCAATCCCGAGCACCTGACGCCTTTTTCTTTGCCAGCTTGAGAACCTCTCCAACTTCATCAAGGCACTGATCAGCTACGGGTTGAAGCCTGTTGACCTCTTTGAGGCCAACGATCTCTATGAGAATGGGAACATGACCCAGGTCCAGGTCTCCCTGCTGGCCCTCGCGGGCATGGTGAGTAGGTGACGACAGGCGGCTTGGCTGCGCCATCCCCAACCAAACCTCCTCTCGACCTCGGCCCCGGGTTTGCATGGGAGGGGGAAGAGCAGTGGCTGTGGGAATTTCCTGGCACTTCGAATGCTGGGAGGGTGGGAGCCGTGGGTTGACATTCCTTTCAGTGCATTCTTCGTAGTCATCAACTCCATCCAGTGAACTGAGAAAAGCAATACAGCGGTGCCTCGCTTAACGAGCGCACCGTTTAACGACGAATCCGCATAGCGACACATTTTTTGCGATCGCTAATGTGATCGCAATGTGATGTTTTAGATAGGGAAAACATCGCATTGCAATGATCGGTAAGCGTTTCGCTTACCGATCTTCGCATTGCGATGTTTTACAAACAGCTGATCGGCGGAAGAAAAAATGGCCGCCTGCTGTTTTCGCGCCCTGCCTTCGCTTACTGGGCAGCAAAAATGGCGGCTGGATGGAGGATTCCCCACATAGTGGTGAGTTTTTCCCCAGTAGGAACGCATTAAACGGAGTTTAATGCGTTCCTATGGGTCCCCCCCCCCCGCATAGCGACAAATCCAGATAGCGACATTAATTCTGGAACGGATTAACATCGCTATGCAGGGCACCACTGTACTTTAGTTCAGTCCTTTTAGGGAGTCTTTTAAGCCTAGAAAAAGCTGGAGTCGTGCTTAGAGGACCAGGAAGCCCGGGAGCAGGATTTCCTCTGTTTAAGGGCTCCTCTCCCTTTGCCTGGAGATTTCCACTTTTTCTCAGGAGGTTGACGGCATTCCTGAAAATCCAGCCAGAGTTGCTAAGATGCTAGTCCTGCTTTTGGAGTAGCCGTGTACCGATTCCTTCTTTCCGCAGGCCAAGACGAAAGGGATTAACAGCGGGGTAGCCATCGGGGTGAAGTACGCGGAGAAGCAGGAGCGGTCGTTTGATGATGCCAAGTTGAAGGCCGGGCAGTGCGTCATCGGCCTCCAAGTGGGTCCAGTGGCACCCCATGGCGGGGTGGTTTGTGTGTTTGTGTGTCCTGGTTGCTGCGGGTGGTTTGGATCCAGTGGCTCTTGCAGAGGAAGCCAGAGGGAGGTTAAAGTTAGGGTTCTTCAGGTGCCTAGTCCTCACTGGGCTGCTTTTGGTCAGGTCTCCCTCCTGGATTTTGTCCCGGCCTTCCTGTCTACATTCGCTTTTGTGTCTTGGCGAAGGAGCAAATAAACACCCAGTAGGTGGTCATTTATTTATTTATTGAATTTGTACCCTGCCCATTTAGTCAACTGACTACGCCGGGCGGCTAACAACATATAAAATAAACAATTTAAAATATCGGAACAAAATAATACATCAATAGACAAAGAACTCAAGATAGAAGAACAAAATAATTCAAGAAATGGCTGGAGGGAAGGCTTGCCTAAATAGCCAGGTTTTCAGTTGCCCTTTGAAGGTGCCCAGCGAAGGGGCCATACGGATCTCAGAAGGGAGGCTATTCCAAAAGCAAGGAGCCACCACCAAGAAGGCCCGGTTTCTTGTTTTTTTCCTTCCGGGCCTCGCTCGGCGTGAGGCTCCTCAGCCTCACCTCCTGGCTAGATCGAGTGATACGAGTAGATTTTGGAGAGCACCCTCTTTGTTTCAGATGGGGACCAATAAGTGTGCCAGCCAGTCGGGCATGACGGCTTACGGCACCCGGAGGCACCTCTACGACCCGAAGAACCAGATCCTGCCCCCGGTGGACCACTCCACCATCGGCCTGCAGATGGGCACCAACAAGTGTGCCAGCCAGGTGAGAGAAGGGCCCTCGAGGAACGCGGTGAGGAGGACGTGGTTGCGCAGGGACTCTGCAGGGCCTCCCCCCTCCCTCGTGGTGGCCAACTGTGTGCCAAGCAGGAACTGTTACCTTTCCCTCCTTCCCCTCTTCCCCCCCTCCGGTCTTCTTCCCCCTCCAGGTGGGCATGACGGCTCCGGGCACCCGGCGACATATCTATGATTCCAAACTGGGGACGGAGAAGTGCGACGACACCTCCATGTCGCTCCAGATGGGCTACAACCAGGGGGCCAACCAAAGCGGGCAGGTTTTCGGCCTGGGCCGCCAGATCTATGACCCCAAGTACTGCCCCCAGGGCAACCCTGGGGAGGCAGCCAACGCCGCCCGGAACGTGGACGGGAACTCAGCCCACTATTACTACTATGAGGAAGGAGTGGACCAGTGAGCTTTGGGGGGGAAAACTAGTTGCGGTGGCGCCAGCGTTCCCACCATATATTTGCCCCCCTTTCCCCATTTCCCCCAGAAGAGGTGCTTTTTGGTTTTTTTCTTCTAAAGACAGCAAGTTGGGTTGTTTCTTAAAAGAGGTAAAAGCCAGCATGGTTGCGTGTAGATTCCCCTTGGGGCAACCATCCGGTTTAGATTTGCCAAGGCACAAACAGAACCATTCTGATAGCTCGCCTTTTTTAAAACGGTCACCCAGTTTTATGCTGCAAATAGTTTTAGGGGAATACATGTTGCTTTGCTTTCGCCAGAGACGGGGAGCAGAAAGGGTGCCTCAGCTTCTCACTGTCTATCTGGGAGCACTAGACGCCGGCTGATGCTCGCGCCCGCTTGTCTGAGGTGGAAGCGCCTTCTGTCCAGAGGCTGAATGATGCAGCCTTGTGTTCATGCTTTCCGTATTCTGCTTGCTTCCCCCCCTTCCCCCCCAAAAATGGCAGAAGCAGCATCAAACTCCTCCCCTGTGGGTTGGGGAAAGTGTCTCTGCCCCTTCTGCCAGTGCTCACACAGAAAAAGTCCCCAGCATTTCTCAGAAGCCAGCGAAGAGAAAGTCCTCCTGCTGGCTGAGAATCCAGCCAGGCCCACTGAACTGGATCACCTCCTGCAGCCAGCTTCCCCCAGTCATCTTTGGCTTCTGAAAATCCCAGCGATGAATTCTCTCATTCACCCAGCTCCATGAGTACTGTTAGCCTCCATATGGTCTAGAAACTTGCACATGGCTGGAATGATCAAAGTTCAGTGCAAATTCTGCACCAGGACACCCGTGTTTCTCCTTTTAATCTCTGTCGGTGTTGAATTTGCATCGAACTTAACAAGCTCTACAACAATTGGTGGTGCAAGGGTTAGGGGTTATGGTTACGGTTCGTAAGAATCTGCCACATTCTTACCAAAAAATAATGGCTAAGAAATAATTTTAACAATAAGAAATGTTTGCATGCATTTACTGTGAGACTTCAAGAAAGGAGGTCTGAGGGACGGGCTCTGTGTGCGTGCGTGCGCGCGCGCATGCCTATGAGAAGGAATGGGTAACAAGCACTGGAATGGGAATAGCACTGGAAGATGCAAGAATGGGACCAGCAACCAGGACAGCCTAAAAGATCCACCCTCTGAACATGGGTTTAGTGGACAATACCTGCATGCTTTTCCTAAACTTATTCCTAACGAGAACGAGAAGCACAGATTTCTTTTTTTTTTTAAAGCCAGCTTCCTGCGATTGGTATCAATTTTCACATGAAAAGCAAATTTCCATTTTAAAAAGATTATACTCATAGCACTTAGTATGAAAAGTATCCTGTGATCTAGTTCTTAAACCGGAAAGGGTCTCAGAATCCTAATTACAGTTCTGTCCAGCGGTTGAACCGATCCCCTGTTGTCGGTACCACTTGGGTGCTTAACTATCAGAAAGCAGTAACTGGGGCAGGTGTTATCAAGTGAAGGTGGTGTCCTCTACAATTTTGTTTCTGCCAATTCAACGGTGTCTTGTTTCACGATTTGTTAGGGGCAGAGGGAGGAACTTGTCACTTATTTCTGGAGGCCACCTTCACAGTGCTGGGGAAGCAGAGTCTGTATTTATGGAAAGCAGTAGTTGGGCCCCTATGAGGTCTAGGAACATGAGAAGACTTTCGAGATAGATTTTGTATTTTTTCTCTTTTCAACCAATAGGACTTAGTGCCTTTTATCAAGGGAGGAAGAATTCTTTCTTCTCAAGCCAAAGACAAGCCCTTTAAGAGCCTGTAAACATTTATATAGTACCGATAGCGAGGAGCACAGGGATCTCTATATATTTTGGGTTGTTTTAGGGACCAATTTTGCTTAATGCCTTTTTGGTAGCTGTAATTTCTTTTCACTCCAGAAATAATGAATATTTTTGTTTCAGTAAGCTTGCTGTCTCTTGGTGCTTGGTGGAGTCCTGGGTTTCCCCCCGGATCCGACCCTCCCCGCCTACAGTCCTTGGAGCACACAAACGTTGTTCTCCACCATCCTCTTATCTGAAACCTTTTAAGGGATCTTCCAAAAGAGCTGCCTGCCATGAAATTAATGGATTAAAGGAGTGATTACTCTCACTGTGAACTTCAGCTCCCAGTAGAAAGCACTGTACTGCTAAATCCCAGCCCAGCTACAAAATAATATTAAGAATAAACCAGGCATTCAGTAAGGATAAAAAGAGAGGCATGGATAAATGCCTGATGTTAGCTGAGACAAGGGGAACATTGTATGGATAACAAAATAGTGCAGAACCTGGTAGTAATAATAATACAGTGGTGCCTCGCACAACGAGCGCCCCGTAGAGCGATGAATTCGCTCTACGGGGATGTTTTTTCGATCGCTAATGCGATCGCAGAGCGACGGCCCCAATGGGCGAAAATCGCGGAGCGAAGGTCGGTAAGCGATTCGCTTACCGACCTTCGCTTTGCGACCCGCTGATCAGCTGTTCCGCGGCTACAAAATGGCCGCCGGCAGCCCCAAAATGGCCGCGCGCAGTGTTTTCGCACCCTCGTAAAGCGAGGGGAAGGCGTGAAAATGGCTGCCGGCCATAGGGAAGCATCGCTGAACGGTGCGTATTCGCCCCAATTGGAACGCATTAAACCATGTTTAATGCGTTCCAATGGCTTTTCCTGCCCCGTTCAACAATGCTTTCACACAGCGAGGGTTAATCCGGAACGGTGCAAGGCACCACTGTAATAACCTTAGAACTGCAGAGCTAGAAGGGGCCATGAATGATTTTGGGGAGCTGATGTTCAAGACACACTGGAATAGCAGCAACTGAGAACCACTCTTCTAACTGTTCAGACACTTTCCTCTGTGAGACCCCCAATGGGCACTGTGATGCTGATGAAGTCAATGTCATCAGTTTGGAACTTGCATCCATTCCTCGCAGCTGTGGCCCTGTCAATCAGGCACCCCGTCCAAGCCCATTTCAATGGCTTCATCTTTATACAGATGTGGGAATCCTACCAGAGAGGGTATGATCCGTGGGACAGCTCAGCTGAGGGTGGTGGCTGTGAAAACTGCTGGGTCTACAGGAGAAAAACTCAGCCGATGATGTAATACCGTGACATAAGAGGAAAAAAAACGGATGGCCTGCTTAGAAGTTATAAATAAGACGTAGCAGTTTCAGAATGGTGGATGCTTTAGTTGTGGAGCTGTGGGACATAGTGCACTTTTGAAAACCCTACACGGGTGAGCAAAATAGGACACTCACTGAGGCTAGCTTTCTGGATCCTTGGACAATCACACCAGGAAAATTAATTCCGGGGAAAGGAAGGCATTTCTGACTCCAGAAGTCTCCACAAAGAGTCATTTTGCCTCAATCTACTAAGCAAAAATGAAAGTAGGTATCAAGAACTTAAAGTTCTGTAGATTTTTACAGACGGTGCTTCCCATTGTGGGTCTGAAGCTGTAGAGAGGGATAGACTGCTGAATATAGTAGGGTGAGCGAGAAGTAAGCAAGGCAGACTTAACAGCTCCACGGGAGATGCTAGGCATCGGAGTAAGAAAACATTCCCGACAGCATCTTCCATTTTAATCCGTTAAATTTCAGAGGCTGTTCAAATACTCCATTGATAGGACAGGCAACTGCAGTGATCACCACGAGGATCATCCAGGCCTGTCTGTAGAAGACATTGACTCGCACCACCTCCTCTTCTAAGCCTTGCACCTGTAGAAGGAAGAAGTGACAGGTACCATCAAGGTGATCAGAAGGTCCGTGTCAAGCTGGTGTCTATAGGGAGAAAGGCAGCGTGGCAGAATGGTTCAAAGACTGGGTGGAAGTTGGGAAGTCCCATTTCCCATTGGAGGCAAGAAACCCATCTTGGGACAGTCACTTTCTCTCAACCGCCTCCTATACAGGATTGGCGTGGTGAAACGATGAGGACCAGTCATGAACGCCAGGAGGAAAAGTGAATCATAAATATAACTGATATATACACTTTTTAAGACCTCCATGGCAAGCGCCATAAAAAGAACACAACACCCAACACAGTAAATTAACTAGTTATTTTCAAGTCAAGACAAAAGGTTGAATCTAAGACCCAAGAGTGTCTTTTTGGCTGGTCAGGCTTTGACCAGTACATCATATCATCCCACAGCACTGGAACCAGTGGCTAAGGAGTGGATAGTAGCTGCAGTTACACCTGTGTTTACCTTGGCCAAAGCCCTACTAATTGGAGGCAGGTTCCGATGCCTGTCGGAGTTCCTTCCAAGCTTCTGAAACCAGGAGGCTCAACCCCAAGGTGCCATTCATCTCTGTGGTTGCCAGCTCCATGACCTAACTTGCCATGATGACCTCAGTCTGCTGGGTGCCATACTGTGTGCGAAAGAGGATGCAGATGGCAGTGGGGTAGAGTCTGTAGGCCAGGATGTGGGCTTGGGTGGCCATCATGTTCTGCAGGGAGCCATTCTGGAAGCTGGAAAACCACTTGCCGCACCCTGTTCGTGGCTCCTTGGGCCTGCAAAAGGCAAACGGGTGTGACAAGGAGACAGGAGTGGAAGATATGCAGCCTTCAAGGACTCGGGAGCAACCTTGAGGCAGTCACTCACAGGATTGTTTATTTATTTTCAGGATCAAAAAGTCACCTTGAATAGGAACAACTTGGACACGTGTTGGGGGCAAATGACATAAATATGCATCCTTGTGTGTGGCTGAAAAAACTAAAGATTTGCCATAAAGTTTTAATTGCTAAATACATATATATTGGCCACTAGAGGGTGCTCGATTTGCATCCTCTAGGGCAGTGGTCCCCAACCTTGCGCCTCCAGATGCTACTAGTTTTTATAGCCATACAAACACCCCCGTTTGTGTAAGGAAAAAAAATGTGGGGACAGTTTGCGGGTATAGCCCTCTAAGATCCAGGAATTGACCCAGACAGCTCCCAGACTGCCTGCTCCTGTCATTTGGGGAGGGTCCATTCTTTTCTGTCCCTAACAAAAGTAGATTAGATCCTAGATATGCATTTCATACCAGCTGTTGAGCAGAAATTATACAGAGGCAAAAGGATCAAAGCTAGATAGTGTTCCTTATCTGGGCAGAGCGGACTAATCGCTCCCTCTCCCCCCCCCCCTTTAACTACAGTCCAACCTCTTCTCCTTCACTTGCTTTGGACCTGAGAAACCCTTAGGAACCCCAGCCAGGGAGCTCTGCAAAAGACTGCTTCACAACTCAGTGAGTGCCAAATACAGAGAAGATGGGACACAGGACCTGCAACCTACGTAGATCACGGATCAGTGGACTGTTTGGCTGCGGAGTCCAATATTGGGATGGCTAGGGGGGAAACCATGCTTTCATCTGTGCACTTTCAGCTTTCACACCTGTCCATGATGGTTGGAACGTGGAGGTTCCAAAATTGTTGCCTCAGGTTGAGGTGTCAGGGTTCACCCCACACAATGTGGGGTGAATGGTCTTTCTCTGTGCCCATGGACTAAAGGTTGCCGGTGGAAGCACTGAATAACACACGTTGACGGTTCTCCAAGAGTCAGAACGTACAGCCACCTGAGTGGCAAGATGCCCATGATAGGGGACAGGCAGAGGGAGCAAAACTCTAAAAAGACCCCTCTCTACAACGGGGAGCTAGCAATGACACAAGACACGACGTTAGCTTTTGTGCATTTATTTAACGTATTTCTACAACCCTCCTTCCCGTAAGCAGGTTTTAAGGCAGTGTACGAGAGGCATAAATAAAAATATGAATGACAAGTACAGTACATGTAAACTGCAACAGACATGTCTATTTAAAAAGGAGAGTCTGCAGTCAAGATGTTAAGGCAGGCTCAGTTATTGTAGCAATTTATAATGCCCAGAGCAATAAAAATAAAAAAAAAAAACGTCATAACCTGGTGCTGAAAAGGTTGCCATCAGTGGTACCCCTCTGAGCAGGGAATTCCAAAAGATACTCACAATAACTGAGGACTGCACCAAAGATATGCAAACACCATGTTAGGTCACAGAATCAGGGAGTTGATTCTGTGCCTGCCAGATGCATCGAGTGGGGGTTGGACATGATGGCCTTTATAGGTCCCTTTCAACTTCAGGAATCTATGATTCCAAGTCAAAGTATATCTGATAGATGCTGGTCTAACTTTCTCTTGAATGCCTCCAGCATTGGAGGGCTGACCACTGAGCCTGCCGGATGGATGAAGTGAGCAGACAGGATGTGTGGGGAAAGAAGGAAGGTGCATTATGCATGCACAGGAGTGTGGGGGGGTGCAGAAGATGCAGGGGGTGAGTGGGTGTTCTGTGGATGTGCATTAGGCAGGAAAGGCTTGGGGAGAAGGCTCGGTTAGCCAAGGACGGGCAGCGAAACACTGAAAGAGCTCAACAGGCAAAGAGGAGATGAAATAGATCGGAGAATCAGAAAGAGAGATGC